GCAGTGAATGGTAAAGATACTCAAATGTAATGGTCAGGGTACAACTTACCTGCAGAAAATTTGCATATTGTAGACGTTCAAACGACTAAATCATTAAAAACCGAATTTGTGTCATGTCCGAAAAATTAATCGCCTAAGTTGAAGTAAAAATAAAGAAAACATGAAACAAAGACAAACCCATCAATCAATGTTCATACCATTAATGGACATTTACTGCTTAACTACCTACTCATCAACACAAAAGCTCTTGGCAGCAAAAAACATCTTTAAGCACACTTTTCAAAGTGTCCCAAAAATAGTGTCAGCCCCCTGTATTATCCTATCAAATTCTTTTTCTTTATGTACCATGTCCCCTCAGGAACTAGGCAATCATGGCTCTCTACAATTTCCTGTACCTTGTAGCTTTTAATAAACTTTGTTTTTCTGTTATTTCTCCTAATCCCTGTTCTGCCATCCATTTACTCAAGTTCACTAAGTATGTTATGTGTTGTTTTCCTGTCCCTCTTGTCCTCTGTCTGTCCTGCAAGTATCAGATTTTCCAAGCCCTCCTTCCTCATTATGTATCCCAGAAATCTCTACTCTCTCTCTTCCTAATGTTAAATATTAGTTTCTTTTTCTTTCCGTTTTCTCTAAAACTTTGTTATTGCTCACATGTTTGGTCCACAGTATCCTCAACATCCTTCTGTAGAACCACATTTCTGTTGCTTCAAGTCTCCTTTTCTTTGAGGAGATTGTCCAGCACTCATTGCCATACTGTAGGACAGATGTCCTATAGCATTTTAGTCCTTTTTTTTTTTTTTTTTTTTTTTTAATTTCAGTGTCACACTTTCCTTCCCCTGTTAAAATACTTCCCAGATATTTAAATTTTTGTACTTGTTTGATTTTGGCATCACCGATTTGCAATTTATACTCCTTTTGCTAACAACCATGTATTATGTCTTTTTGCAGTTGATGTTTAATCCTTTTTTTTTTCTTGTTTTCCTTCACTACCTTCTGTAGGAGTCTGATCCTATACAAAGTATTCTCAAAAGTATAATGTCAGCTTATGTAATTCAGTGATTTCACAACAACCAATGTTGGTAAAAGTTTGAAGAGTTACTTATACATGTCATGAGTTTTAAGAAAGATACCATCTCAAAAGAGAAATAAGATATTGCAAAGTTATTGAAGGATCAGAACACAATGTGAAAAATGTTGAATAGAAATATGAGAACAATCAAAAAAAATTGAAAACATTGGCAAACAAGAAAATATTCAAAACTTATGAATATATGCAGATAAAAAATATAAAATATTAAGAAAATTAGCTAAAGACCTGAAAACAAACAAAAAATACATCACAAAGAAATGTGGAAGTTGGTCAAAGAATTACATGAAAACTGATTTTTCAATAGTAATTTTTTAGTGATTAATGCAGAGCTATATTAGATAAGGCATGATGACTGGACTGGAGGTAGTATTAAGCATAGAAATAGTCAATTAATGACTTAGAGAACAATGCGATGGGAAGACTAAACTTTTGGACTAGTAGGCAGCAAAATTATAATCCCTTTAAAGATAGTGGTTCAAGATAAATACAATGATATTTGCTGAGTGGTGCAGGTCACATTCAAGAAGCTTTTAAGCTAAAAAGTTTATTCATAAAAAATAATATTCCTTCTTATTTTGCAAACTGACAGTTGTCCACCTTGTCAAATATTTCAAAGAGACTAAATAAATTGAATAACTTCCTCACCTAAATGTCTAGACATTAATCCAATGAAAAATGTTTCTTCCATGATTAAAATAGTAGTATGAAAAACAAGTGGTCTCAGAAGCAATAAAATCTGTTAAAGTTGAGCAGATTAGGGAACACATATTAATATGCAAAATAAATAATTTAATACACTATTCAATATGCCTGAATAATCAAATATATTTTAGTTGTCTGTAAATTAGGTACCACCAATAATTTGCTAAAAAATCAGTATAGCATAATGATAAAAGGTCCCAAACTTAATAAAAACAAAGTTTCATTATTAAAATGTTTGTTATTATTAAGAGAGAAGAACAAAGTATTTTTTAAATTTTTTCCTTCTAATACGTTCTAAATTTGGGTAAAAAATCTGTTGTTTTTTTTGTTTTGTTTTTTGTAATACTTGTGGTAATGGCCATTTAAGTGAGAAAACCCATTAATTTAGAAATTCTTGCAAAATTCAAATAATTGTCTGATTTTAATGGAACTTTCAGGACTTATTCAAAAATAAATGATTTTATTTTTGAAATTTTTATTTTTAAAAAATCTTGGTAAAAATACTTTTTTTTTCTTTTTTTTTTTTTTTTTTTTTAACATCTGTTAAACAAAATAAATTAATTTTATGAAATTTATAGAATTTCCAAGAGTTCATAAATTGTTTTATATTATTTATAAGCAGGACTCCTTGGAGAAATTAAGTCATCTTTTTTTTTTTTTTTTTTTTTTTTACAAAATCTGCCAACTTTTTAAAAAATCTGCTCCAAATCATAAAATAAATAACTGCAATAAACTATCTAATTATCAAATTAGATAGGCTTTTATTTGCTTTTATAAATAATATACATTAAGAACATTATTATCTGAAGAAAAAAAATTTTTCAATGAATAAAGAATTTTTACAAGAATTGTTTGCATTTTTATTTTTTTTTTTTTTCATTTTTTTTATTTTTTAAAAAATGTTTTAAAATTCTTCCAAGCAGAGTGTGGGGTTGGTTATTAAGTTTTTAAGTGAAGACTATATTTAGTAAGCAAAAATTAAAAGCTTAATACAAATAATGCTACCAAAACTTTACCATAATTAAAATTTTTTTGCATCAAAATGTTATATTTTTTTTTAGTATGATATCTCATAAGTGACATTATGTTTAAAAGGTCACATATTTCAAAGCTTGTCTCCTCCTTGGGGAAAGCCCCTTGGCATGTAAAGGTCTTATCTCACTCTCAGTTATTAAATTAAAAATTAAATTGAGATAATAAAATTATCTCATTTATCAATTTAAACAATTAATAATTCAGTGTGATATTTTAATTATTAATATAATAATAATTTTATTAGTTATTATCTCAGCTATTAAATTAAAAATGTAATAGCTTAATGTAATATTAATAATTAATAAAATTATTTATCATAGCTATTAAATAATGAGAGATAGAGGTAACTCAATGTAAGAAATTTTTATAGTATTTATATTATTATAAGAAACAAAAAAAAAATGTTATGTTATGTCACTTTTGATGCACCCTACTAAACCTGTCAACACATTCAGCCATAAAATTATTGATGGAGACGTGAAAATAACAAGACCCCAAGGTCAAGAAATGTTTCTAGAAAATTTTGCTATAAATAAGTGATTTTTGTTTCAGAACAGATTAATTTAACTTTAAATTTGCTAATTTTACAAAAGTAACGTTTCAGAAATGTATATTTTATTATAGTGGGATCTTCAAAACCAAAAATAAGTTTGTTTACATTTATCTGATAAAAAGTTAAAAATGGCTGTTTCGATTGGTTTTTCGGAAACATTAACTAAAAAATCATTCAAATTTCTATTTGAAATACTCCACAGTATTTTTTTGTTTTTCTGGAATTAGAAAATTTAATCCTTTAGCTTTCAATTGAAGTGGTTAGAAAGTTTCGAAAAGGATTTTTCCTTTATGAAAAATACATTTAAACCTTAGGTATACGAAGTTTTGGAGATACCTACTGTAATTTTTTTTTATTTCTAAAAAAAATATAAATTTGTTGCACTTGGTGTGTATAAACCTGACATTCTCTCTCAAAACTAGTCATTAATATTTTTAATAAGGATATTATAAGCTGAAAATCACTCGGTCTATTATTCATGTAGCAATCCTGATATTTTTCAAATAAATACTAATTTTATTGGGAAAAGCTTGACTTGCATAATAAAATCTGACATAGCATACTTACATAGATATTAGATGGAAATCAGCCACATGAACAGACAAGTTTAAGAGTGGCGACTATTTACATTTCACAAATATTAAATCAACTGAATAACATAACAAAAAAGACATACCACTGTTTGGCTTTTGTTAATTATGAAAAGATATTTGAATGGCTGGAAGATGTGGCTGTTTTTAATTCAATAGAAGAGCAGGGTATCAGTGAAAACTATAAAAACATTATTGAGAATATAACTGTTGCAATAATTTGACTACATAAAGACTGGAAAAGGAGTGTGAGGAAGGGACACAATTTCATCTAACCTACTCACAGTATTTTACTAATATCAGAATTGTGAATTATGAGAAATAATAACTTATTTAAATAGAGAGAGAGTCTTGCAAAATGAACAGAAATTAAATTGATTAGTGCACAGTTGGTAACAAGCAATACCAGTTAGAAGATAGATGTGATAGAGGGTTTTACTCGTAAGACATGGCAGATAATTTCATAGTCATTGTTATCAGGTGGGTTTAGGGAAAATCCTTTGTCCTGTAAGTGAACTACCAAGGCCTGATGATAATGTATTGCTATGTTAATGTCAGAGATGAGGAGAGAGGGTAGCAATAAACAGTAAAAAGTTTTTTATTTTTTTAAAAAAAACAATCATGTAAAGCTCAGAAATATTACTAATCTTTTTGGTTACAAAAATGTTAGATATTAGAAAAATATTGATACCAAACAGGAAGTAAGGAATGACAATGTAGAATATGAAGAGAGAAAAAAGTAAAAAAAAAAAATTGCTTTATTAAATTTTATTGGTGTTTTATATAGAAGATTTTTCTAAATGAAAAAGGCTATATTAATGCTATTAATGTTTGGAATTTAAGTTATGTGCAAGTGAAGTCCTAAAAATCACTTAAAATACTTTTTAAGTCTACTCTAGGACAAAGAAAGTAGTTATTTGATGACATAGGCTTTGTACTCATTAGATCTGTCCATTATCAAAGCAGAAATGGCCATTGTATTTCACTTTAAATTTTACATAATCTTTTTGCATTATTTTTGTTTGTTTAGGTAAAAGACAACATAGAGAAGGTTTTCTGTCAGTATGTCAAGGAGGGAAAAGCCACTATTAGACTAAAATCTCCCCAAATTGATCTGCGTATAAGTAAGGTAAGTAAAAGAATCTACAAGCTATTTATTTGATCTTCATAAAAGCATTTTCCAGCTATTTTAGAAACTATTTTGCAACATATAAAATGCATTCTTCTCCCATTTCAAAATCATCCTTGATTTATGAGGGGCCTTGAAAATTTTCATCAATTTAATTTTCACATTTCATGCAAGGTTTAGGGTAAATTTTATATACTGCAAAATATAGAAATTTCAGATAGTTACATTTTTAAATTTCATTTTAATAGGCTTCTTTTTTTTCTTTACTAGAAAACATAAAAATTAGAATTATTTCCTTATATTCTGATACATTCAATAATTTACATTTTTATTCCTACTAATGATCATTTTATGTCACAGTAAAAAATAATAGAATTAAAAGTTGACAATATTGATGGCTGCTTCTGCGTTGAATCTTAGATGTGAATTACTGTTATTCATAAAATTTGCTATAACCAAATTGCTTCATTTCATTCTTGTTGATGTTCTATCAATTTTGTTTATATATTGATCTTGATACAATTCTTGATAGAATTGTAAAGAAATCTTTATGATTTTTAATTTATTTATTAACTTTTAATTACAATTTAATGCTTTTTGTTTTTGTTTATTTTTTTTTTCTAGACAGATGCTATCCAACTAAAGAGTTTTCTGACTGTTCTTAAAGGTTGTCTTCAGGGTGTTAGTCCTCCTCCATCTAATCAATCTCTCACAGTTCTGGTACCAGTTGCAGCAAAACATCTGGAGAGTTGCAAGAAAAAGTTGAGCATTTTTAAAAGACAAGATTATCCTTTACTGAAAGGCTTTCCAAAATCACTGACTCACTTGCTTGTATCTTGTTCTCTAAAAAAGATTGATCATAGAATTTTACAATTAAAATTCTTACAGATTCTGGATTTCACTGGGAACCTTCTGGAAGAGCTCCCAAGTTCTTTTTGCAATCTCAGCTTATCAGAACTGATTTTAAAACAAAACCAATTTACTTCATTACCATTATCATTACTGGAACCTCCTATTGTGGACTGCTTGACTCATTTAGATGTCAGTGAGAATAAAATTAAGAGACTTCCTGAAAACCTTGACAGACTGAAGCAACTGTTAACTTTACAAGCCTCACATAACCAGTTGGAACGCCTTCCAGCCACAATTGGTAAACTTAAAAAACTGAAAAGTTTATTTGTGTCTAATAATCAAATTCCACTTTTGGCTGCAAGTATTGTGAATCTACACCTTACAGAGCTTGATGTGGCTCATAATAAGTTTGACTCTACTCGTGCATGTATTGTGCAGCATAAGAATCAATTTCCAAGCCTACAAACTTTATGTGCTGAAACCATTGTGGCCAATAGGTAAGTTCCATTTGTAAAATTAGAATCAACTGTAACATTTTTTGAAAAATGTAGTAACAATACATTTTTAACAGTTTTTAATATATACAGGATGTGGCAGAAATATTTCCCACATAATGGTAAGACATTCGATAGATGAAGAAACTATTGCCACTAAATGTCTTACCATGTGGGAGGTATTTCAAATTAGTAACAAGAATTTTTTTTTTTTTTTTTTCGAATCACTAATTTAAAGATTTATTGTGTCCATGTGCAAATTACTTAAAATATCTTCCTTATCTATGAAACCGGAAGTAAGTTTTTTTTTTTACTACATATTTATCAATGTGTGTGTGTGTGTACACACATATATATATATATATATATATATATATATATATATATATATATATATATATATATATATATATATTATACAAAGATGAAAATAATACTGATATCTTGTTTTAATAGATAATATTTTTAAAAATTACACAAAAATATCTTGAAATACTAAAGAGTAAATTTATTCAATAAAATCGCCATTGGCTTCAACCATGGCCTCCAGATGGCTTTGGAATCTCCTGCAATTCTTTTGGATGTAAATGCTGCCATAATCCTTGCCTTCAGTTCATCTTTGGAGTTACAAGAAGTTTTGTTGGTCTCTCACTCAGCTGCATCCCAAACATAAGACTAGTCACCAAAAAAAATATTTTGAAATGGTGTTAAGACACCAAATATCTTTTTTAGTTAATTTGTGGATGCTGAATCTGAAAATGACCTTACTTTTTCTTGGTTAGTTACCGTTTTTGCTCTACAGAAATGCCTCATTTTGGGGGGAAAAATGTTTGGTTTTTTTTTCCATTTGTTTTCTGTATATATGATATTGACCGATAGCAATATTTCTCAAAATAAAAATCTTAGAAACCTCTCAATTCGTCTTTAAACCAACTAATATTGGTTTGCTTATTGAGAAATACCATTTTTTGCATCAGATACTAATCAGACACTAAGTTTTTAAAAATAATACGATTGAATATAACAAGACCAACGAGTATTTTACATCAAATCATTTAAAACCTAACAGCAGACATAAAACCTTCGTGAACGTAAGAACTGTGCTAAAAATTTTCTCTTCCTTGATTGTCTGTCATACTCAATGTTATTGAAGTCTCTTTTGATACTCCAGCAATATCATGTACAATGGAATAGGTGCATTAAATTGGGATGTCTTTAGTTGAAGTTTTTTTCCAACTATGAAAACAAAATGCTCTCAATGTGCTTGGTTTCTTTCCATAATTAAGTGTGATGGATAAATTAATATCAAAGAGAAGAATTTAGGGTTTCATTTTTTTGATATCACCTTAATTATCAGGTTTACTAAAATGTATTTCAGATAAAGTTTATCAGTTAATATGAATTTTGGCAATAAATTGGGAACATTCAGTACTTCTATTTTGACTCAAAAACACTTTTTTCTAATAAAGATAGTTTATTTCAGGTGGATGACATAAATTGCTTGGCCTACCTGAAAATTGATGGGTTTTTACAAGATTTATTAACTAAATTTTGTGATCAGCCAAGATTGTAAATTGATTTTTTTCCAATTTCAGTACAGCAAATATGGTAGCTAACCATGAAAAACTAAGGTCATTTTTTTGGAATCAGCACCATCAAATTAACTTAAGAACATGTTTTGTTTCTTGGCACCAAAAATTGTGTTAACCAGTGTAATAATCAATGGGGCTGTATAGTCTGGGGAGTTAGGTGGCCAGATGTAACGGGTTGATGTGGTTGCAGAAATTGTTTGACAGCCCTGACTGTGTTCTTCTGTTAGTGTGGCATAGTGCAGAGTCCTGTTTTCAGACATGGGTCTTCCAGCAGCCACCCTCTTGATCAAAGGCAGCACGACCTCCTTAAGGCACGATGTAGGCCTCTGTGTTGAGTCTGAGGCTCTCACCAACAAATTCAGGAGTTCCTTATCAGAACAATCAGAGTGAGTTTTCTGAGCTGGTATACCTCCATTATTGTTATAGTGGAACACACCTATTCTATAGTTAATAGACTCTTCCACCTATAATAAGTAGTAGTAGTAATAGTAACGAGTCAGTCGATGCCGGACAACCGTTAGTCGAATATTAAAGTATCAGCCACCACAACTAGATTTCTCTGCGTTATACCTCTTATATCAAATTCCTAACATTTTGTACGTCAAACCTTTTTTAGGACCGACTTAGTACAAATACAAGCCTCCACTGTGAAATCACTCCCTAACAATAATCACCATTAGACTCCTCCAACTCTTTCCAAATCCTCTGCACTGTCTTCAGGGTGATACCAAAAACTGATCTCATTGGAAAGGTCATTGATGAAAATTAGGAACAATGTCAGTTCAAGGACAGAGCCCTAGGGAATACTTGCATGAACACAAAAAGTTCTAGAAGAATAGTCATTCAAGACAACTTTCATTTGTTCAGTGTACCCAGATCTCTCAAATAATAATGTTAGATCAAATTATAAATGAAGACTTTCATGATTGTGTTTTTAACCATAGAAAATTTTGTTCTCTAGTAGACAGTCTCAGAACAAATGTAGTTAATAAGTACACTAACTTCTTAGTAATTTCTCTTAATCTACAAATGTATGGCATCATAAATATAACAATTTAATTTTAATACTATCCTCCTCTCTTGGGCTGGTCCATTCTCCCAATTAACAAATGTGTAAAGCTATGTCTTTCTTTAGCATTAATAAAATTTATATTTACACATGTGCACATACACTAGTAATCAAGTAACAAATGGTCAGATTAGCATATAACAATGGAGCTCGTACGAGTTCCCTCCCCTGCATCATAATTACGCATGCTACTTTAAATTCATGATAAAAAATAAAAAGTATTCAAAGTCTGAACAAAGAATTCTTTTTATCTTAAACCAGTCTTATGAAATTTAAAGTATTTTGAATTTTTTTTCTATTTATTTATTTTGAATTTTTTTTTTTTTTTTTTTTTTTTACTCATTTCACCCCAAGCAAGGTAATAAAGCCACTAAGATGCAAAGGGCTACTCAGTGTGAAAGAATATAAGAAAAATCATTTTTAAAAAAATCATTATTAAAAATCCTTAAAAACACAGGTTTCAGGTAGACAAAAGATGAGGATTGACATTGCAGCTAAATTTTCAAAGATCAAAGTTAACTGGAAAGCCAGAATCTGGAAGAGGGTTCCACAAGCAAGAAGTGTGCAAAAAGAAACTGTTAGCATAGAACTTATGGTTAAATTTAGCCATTTCAAGAATTTCTAGATACATAGAAGCACCAGACCAGATGCGACAACAATATTCAATACATGGATGAATGATAGGCTTATAAATGTGTACAAAAAATTGTTTAGCATGACACAGTGAACCAACTTTCTAAGCAGCTAACCTAGATTTCCAATTCATGTCAGTGAGAAATGTTAACCCAAAAAGACAAAATATCACTTTCTTGAAGGTTTGTATGAGCCATGCTGATGAAAGACAAAAAAAAAAAGAGATATTTTGAGATTATCTGCCAATTTGATATCTAAAACAATCTTAAAGATTCTAGATAAAATCCAAAATGTATCTGCAATGTTATTGGTCTGACATCTCAGTTTCAGTCACTTTCCCATCAACATAACATAGTTTCTCTGTACCTTTTTCTAAAAAATATTTTCATGGTATTTATGCTGATGAACTTTCCTCTTTGCTACTAATAATTTATGAATTTAAGCACAGTGCTAGATTCATGGCAAACTCTCATCCTTTTAAGTTCTATGCTAACAGTTTCTTCTCTTGTTTATGGATCTCTCTTCCAGCTTCTTGCTTCCCAGTCAACTTTGATCTTCAAAAATTTAAATGCAATATCATTCATTATCTTCTGTCTTAATTCTGTTCTTTTATTGTTCTTTCTCCTTAATGTTTTCTTTTTCTCATATTCTCTCACACCCCATAACTCCTTGCATCTTAGTAGCTTTATTGCCTTGCTTGGAGTGAAATGATTAACATATTAAATCCTTAATTTTTGTAATAAACGTTAACAAATTAACAAAACTTTAAAAAGAAAAAAAAGCAATGTTAACAGATTCCACCTGTTTTTTTTGTTTGTTTGTTTTGTTTTTTTTTTTTGTCTAGTTGTTTTCAGTTTACTATATCATTTAAAATATTGCTCGCTTTCCTATGTCTCCTCCCCAAACCTAAAGTTAGTGAGTTGTTATTGAAGCTAGGATTTTAATAATTGCGAAAACTGACTCCTTCATCCACACATAACAGATACAAGAAACTACTGATTTATATTTGTGATACATGCACAAGCATTTAAATTTACAACAATTATATGAACTTTATTTCAGCCACAAAATTTACCCACATATAAAATATACTTATCTGGCAATTGAAAACCATAAAGAAGAAATAAATAACAATGACTTTTATCTCAAATAAGCTCAGTGTCTACTCAAACTGTTGGTACATCTAAGACAACCATATAAACCAAGTTCTTTTTAGCAACACTGTGAGATCTACCCAAAGCTGCTTAATATGTATGGCATATGTATAGCAAAGGTTTCTAATGTTTCTTGTTTTTCTTAAAATTAGTTAATTAATAATAACTAGTACATATTTATTAATAAAATTACAAAAGTGCTGAAAATGTCTTGGCCTGTCCAAGAAGGTATTCTAAAAATTTAGTGTTTGGAAAATAGGTTAGGCCAAGAACACCTCTTTTATTTTTCAGCAATCTCATGCCAGTACGTACTGTATATACTTCTACATATTTTTTCTTGCATGAATTTTAGTATTCATGAAAAAAAATTCAGGAGTTGCACTATACATGAAGTTGGCTTATGTAGAAGTATATACAGTCGGTCACTGGAAAATGAACATGGGATCATAACAGTCTTAAACTTGATGAAAACAAAATTTTATCGTCAAAATATTTGTTTTTATTAAGAGGAAAGAACAAAGTAATTTTTAATTATTTTTCAAAATTTTTGTCTTTATTAGAGCATTCTAACTTTTGATTGAAAACCTTATTTCTCTTCATCAGCAAAAGTCCTAGTAAATAACATGGTGGATTTTTTCTGCATGGCAGTCATTAATTTTGGAAATCTTGCAAAAATAAAAATAATTGTCAGATTTTAATGAAACTTTTAGAAACTATTCATAAATGATGGAAATTATTATAAATGGGTTTTTTTTTTTTTTTTAAGTCATGGTAAATAAAAAAAAATTATATTTATTACCTCCCCCCTCCCAATTAATTTATGAAAACTCTTGAAATTCAAATGTGTACATTTTTAGTGATTAATTAAGTTAAAAACACAAGGCTTTGAGGAAAGCAAATCATTTTTTTTTTTTTTAGTTGACACCCTTCTATCTTAAAATCAGCTCTGAATTGTAACATAAAAAACTGAATAAAATAAAGATATTATTTAATTTCAAAAGCTTTTAGTTGCTTTTATGAATATGGATAATATTGTCTGAAAGCAAAAAACGTTTTCGATAAAAATAAAAAAAAATTTTTGCAACAATTCTTTGTTATTTCTTAAATTATTTGTTTTTTTTTACATTAAAGTTGTTAAATATTCTAAAATTAATGAAAATGTTGTACAGTTTAGTCAATGATGTTATTAAGTAGATAAATATCATTACAGATTATAAAATAAAGCTGGTTAAAATCAGCAATCTGCAAATAGATAAAAATCTAATATAACATGTTTTTTTTTTTAGTGTCCCAAAATAGCTTAATATGGAAGACTGGAAGCATCATGAAAACAATAGTCCATCACATGGTAACATAAACATTTTGACGATTAAAATTCTGCTTTTCGTCAAGTTTAAAGGCTTGTTTTTATCATGCTATGCCTAGGAAAAAATAACAAGGTAAATAAGTTGTTCACATAAAAGCTAAACTGTCACTTGTTTGACCTCCTGTACTATAATTTTTCCTCCTGTAAGATGTTAGCGTGATGAAATCACACGTAATTTGTCAATCAACACCACTGTTAAGACTGGCTTTCTATCATTTTTTTTTTGCAGAAAGAAAGTAATGTTTGTTTCAAAATATATTAAATAAACTTTATAATTTCTAATTTTCTTGAATTAATTTTTGAAAAAAATCAAAATTGATTCTTTTTTAAAATGAATTTTAAATGGAGATTTTCGCTTTTGCAAACAAAAGTTTAAAAAAATGGCTGACGATCGATTTTCCGTCAATTTTAAAAAAATCAAAAAAATACAAGAATTTTAACGAAAATTATTAAAAAATGTAAAAAAAATAATCAAAAATTACTTTGATCTTTCCTCTTGATAATAATATAAACATTTAGACGATAAAAAATTCTTTAAGGCCTTTTTTATTCATGCTATGCTATTTTTTATGGATTTTATGACCATACCTAAATACATCAAGTTTGCAATATTGAAAAAGGCACTCTCTAATAGGTTTGTTTATTCTATACTATTTTGGATCTAAAGCTATATAATATCTTTTTCCTCCTCCTCCCCCCCCCCAAAAAAAATAAAGAAATTCTTTTAAAATTGAATTCAAATTTTATTTAATTTGCTTTTTCAGGATACCTTACAGTGATGAGAACCTGTTTCAACATTTGCACTCATTTGTCAAGAACTACCACTGGTGTTGGTGTGGGAAAAAAGTTTTTGACAGGTTCATTCAATGTGTCTTCCACTCTAACCTCTCATTTATGACAGCCTCTCTTCATCTGGCTGGCTCTGATAGAACAATTCCAATTGAGGCTTATTTCTGTTCCCAGAAATGCTGTGATCGATTCACTTTGAAATGTTTTACAAGTTGAGTTTAATAATTAATAAAATCTCTTTTAAAAATCTACCATTATGCAATGATTTTTTTTTTTATTAAAGTATTTATATAAAAACACTTTACACTGTTTTTGTTATATATATTTTCTATTAATGGAATTTTTGTACTTTTCAACTTTTTTCATTTTTTTAACTCGTCTGGCAGGAATTTTAATGATTTTGTTGTTTTCATTCCATTCTAATGTTTCTAACATTTTCCTAATAAAGCATCCATGCATTGAGCTCATATCGTAACAGTTAAGTTTCTTTTCTCTTTATTATTATTAAAATTATCAGTTGAATGGTTGAGAAAAAAGAAATGGGTTAAAAAATTGCTTTAAAATAAAATAAATTTAAAAACAGTTTCAAGGAGAATTGAACCCAGAATTAACCCTGCCAAGATTCAGTAAAATTGAGCAAAACCAAAGTTCCACTATTGCTGATAAACAGACAGGATTAATGTGTTGTCCAAATTTCTTTAGTCCTGAGAAATTAGATTCAGAGGTTTGTGTACTTTATACTGTCAAAAACGTATGTCTTAACAAAATTATTCTTTGTCGAGAACCATTTCTAATTCCTAAGATTTGGGGTTGTTTGTTAATCACTCAAGAACACAATTTATATTTACAGGAAGATTCTAAACAAAGAATATCTTTTTTTTTTTAACCATATTTAAAATTAGTTATATTAATGTCAAATATTTTTTGTGTGGTGGGGGGATGTTTTCTATATAAACAAGAACTCCCCAGGCCAGGAAACAGACAGAAAATTGTCAAACAGCCAACCTCCTTCATGAGAAACGCACCCACGTGCTCAAAGATGCACAAATGACAGTCAATTGTTCCCCTATTTTATAACAATTACTGCTAAATTACCAATTCACTCTCCAGTATAAGTCTTAGTCCTTCAGTAGATAAGACATTCACCAGTCTTTATCTATAAAATTCTGTGACTTATATTAGTCAGTCCATTCATCCATCACACCCTCTAAAATAACCATACATTGAATGATTGAAATCAAATTTTGGGGAGAAATGTAAACGTGTAAAGGAGTACAAAATACAGGGGTACGTAGCTTGGTACAATAAATTTTCATGTTTTGAAAAAAAAGTTTTATTATTTAACATAGAAAATACTCTTACTATTTTAAAAACAATTATTAAAATAAATACTTATTTAATAAAAATGCAATATTGTTTTTTGCATATCTTTTCTTTAAGGTTTTATATATACAAGAATCCAGTTCACCCTGCATTTGCAAGAACTATAAACAAATCGCAAGGCCAAACGCTTCAAAAAGTTGGAATGGCCAGCTGTATGTTGCATGCTCAAAGAGTAAGAAATCCTAAGAATTTATTATTCACTGGTAAAAAGGAAAAGAAAAAAATTTTTCTTAAAAACAAAGAAATTCTTTACTATGAAGTCCTAAGAAATTATTAAACTGCGAAGTAGGGTTTGTCAAAGTATTTTTCTAAACAAATCAGCTTATTCAAATTTCATTGATTGGTTGGCGAAATTGAACAAAACGTTGAGTTTGTAAATCTTGACCCAAAAAACGGTACTCGCGCGTCTTCTTGTAGTCCTCGGTCGAGTCCATTATGGTACTGCAAGGTGTGCCCGGCGAAAACACACACACTTCCGCGCATGCTCGTTACACTCCTCCCTGATCTCGAGATCACACAAATGGCAATGTGGGGCAGGCCGTTTCTACCTGGTGCTCCGTCTCAGTGGTGTGGTCTCAAGCGCTTCCTCAGTAGTGCTCTCTTCAGACGTCTCACTGAGATCATCCCGCATAGGTTCATCAGGCGCGCTACTCTCTAAGGTGTGCTCTTCCTGTGATTTTATATATACCATCGGGGCTTCATCATTATCTGAAGAACTAACGTGGTCGCTGACGGAATAATCCTTCCCGCCGCTGGATGCACATATTTTATGTGGCGCGGTATTCCATCAGAGACGGAGTGTGGAGTATTAATTTGTGTCACCGTACCCTTGTTGAACTGTGTCGTACACCTTCCGTGCAGATTTTTCACCCATGGCAACTGTGTCGTCACGCACCAAAGCTGCGTCAATACCCTTAATGCGGACCCTGTAGGTGTAGGCTGCATTCGCCGGTGCAAGTTGAAGCTGTTTTATTGTCCTTTGGGGTAACGTTGTGCCAATATACAGCTTCCAAAACTGAACACAGTGTTCTCGTCGCAATGCGCTTTATTGTACGATGGGATCTCTCAACTATCCCATTCCCCGATGGTATGTGGGCACAGCGAAATCGTATTTGTACATTCCACATCTTTGCAAAAGCGGCAAACCTCTCTCCACAAAACGCTGCGCCATTATCCGTAAGCAGCTCAATCGGCGGCCCTCTTTCACAAAACACTACTTCCAACTGCTTGATGATGCTAGCAGAGTCTTGGCGGTGCAAGGGCTTCCAAATGACAAAACGACTGGGGCCGCAGTCTATCAGCGTCAGGTATAGTTGATGTCTGAAATGGGTTACATCCATCGCAACCCTGTGCCAATTTTCCGCGACATCAAGCCTGCCCGGTTTCCAACGCACAGGGGCCGGGTCGATTGACTGGCATTCCTTGCATCCCCTAACCACCGCTCGCACCTCAGCTTTTGTTACTCTTGGGTCGATCAACTTCACAAAATAGAGTGTTCTCTTCACACCAGGATGTCCGCTGGATTGATGAATGGCTCGTACTTGAGCAACATCTCGCTCTTCAGCCACAGCGCACATAGGTTCTCTGGGTTCTGTTATTTTGCGCATTTCATTTAACCATCGCTGCGGTACTCTAGTAAGTTGGTCGGCTCGATTGTTGTACGACTTGACAAGCTCTACATCAATGTCCAGCTCGTATTCTAAAGCCAACTCTTGGAGTGTGGCTAGCCGACGTCTGATTAGCATCTCCGGACAGGGTGTCAGCTACCCAGCGATGCACACATGCTGAGTCTGTCCGTAAATGAATGGTTTTAGCCTTCCATTGTAATGCAAGGTTGACACCTCGCAACACAGCATCGAGCTCAGCCAAGTTGATGTGCTTGACTTCGTGCGCCGGTCTTCTGCTACGGCGCCATTGCTCTCCACAACCACACAGGTGTCTAAGGAGCTTGCATCTACCCACAGGGTTACATTTTGCTCACTGATAGACCAGTCACCTTTCACTGGATCGTACTGGGCTAGTCTCTTAAAAATGTCGTCGATCATCTGGGCTAGAATAGGGTCCTACACTTCATCGTCCCATCCAGTGGTAACAGTGTTTGCCCTCCGCTTCACAAATGCCGTGGCGACACGTAACCAACCGCATACCGGAAAATGACCAGTCAACTTCCCGCACAGCGAGAAGACAATTCAGCGGGTAAGTTTATTGGGGACTACCGAAAGTTCACATCCACGACGCCATCGCAGTTTTCCTTGCTCCTCCCAGACATGCAATCCCAACACGCGTGTGCCAATTCTTAGCCGCTCCGGTGTCTTACTTGACAGACCAAACTGCTCCAAATGTTCCTTGACGCGGACCACAGAACATACACTCTCATTTAACGTCGTCAATATAAGAGGAGGAGGCTGCGTTGACGATCTCGTCCTGGCTCAAGACGGTATTAACAATGGCCCGCATGATTAAAGGGGCAACATTGAGCCCAAATCCTAAGCGGGTTAGACAATACCTTTGTCCCTTAATCTCCACTGTTTGGAATGGCCAAAGGGACTTGTCGATGTGTACCTGCAGATAGGCCCGGCGTAGGTCCAGCACTGCAGCATTTGGTCCTTGCTGACGCCATTCCCGTAATTTTTTAGAACAAACATCTGCGTTGGCCGCGTATGCGTCAACGTACTCATTGAGTTCCCGATAGTCCAAACGGGCCGAACCTTCTGTTTGTTTTCCTGCTGAATGGCCATGAGGGGTCTGAGCTCCTCCTCCGGGTAAGGAAGCAGCCAGCCGTTATCTATCCACATCTGGAGTTCCCGATCATACTCCTCCCTAATTTGTGCGGGGGCTGGATATTCTGCCAGTCTATTTCTTAACGTACCCGGGGGTTGGTTGCCAGCCCATTTCCAAGATGCGGTCCACCTTCGAGTTGTCTCATCGTATTCTACTTTAAAGTCGGGATCGGTTATGGTGATAGCAGCAACGACTGGTTCGACACACTGCGGAAACTTTACCTCACCGGCGCCAGTTACAGATATTCCTCTCAACTGTTTGATTGCGCTTAGTCCGAGCAGCAAGTCGAATCCAAGCAGGTCTCCGTCCACGATGGACGGCTTTGCACCAACCCTAACTTGTACCACTCCGATTCCACAGCAGTCAAGTGCGCCTCCGTCTACTGTAAGCACGCGTGTTGATTTTCTTGTCCATGCTCGACAGCATGACTTGTGGACTAGTGACTGTGTGCATCCTGTATCCACCAGAGCTGTACGTGGTATCCCATCGATACGAACTGTCACTACAGGAAATGCGCCATTTACAAGGGTGTTAGAGAGGAGATTGGCGCTGAATTCTTGCCCCCCTGCTCGTTTCCCGGACAACACCCTTGCCGATGACATCGATAGCAAGTGATGGTCCGTCGGTGCTTGGTACCAGCACCTTTGGATGGTTCACGACCCAGGAGTTAATCGCTCGCCCTATGATTGGGTCCATCACATTTATAGCACCTCATGTGCACATCTGTTTCCTTCAACTGTGCAGCCACTGCGGCCTGCTCTGTAGAACCAGTGCACTTCTTCAAAATAGCGCGAGCTCGTGCCAGCACATGTGACAAATCCAGGTCTTCCATCTGGGATGACGCTCTTAAAAGCTCCTCTGCATGCTCAGGCAATCCAGCAACGAATGCACACTGCAAACACTTTTCTGATACGCCACCAAACAGAACCGCGAGTCTGCGCAGTT